TGGGATCCGAACCGGGCCCTCTGGCGTCCCAAGCCAGTTCTTAACCATCGTGCCACTCGGCCGGCCTGTGGCTGGTATATCTTTTAAATTCAAAGATCTTTAAGATGAAATTGTGTAAGCAATACTAGTGTGTGAAAGGGCATGGCATGGGATTGTATGAGACTAAGAATCAGCAATGACAGGGTTATTCATGTCAGAGCTACAGGTGAGGCAGCATTGATAGGTTCTCAACAAGGGACAAAGATATCAGCCAGTGAAATGGCACCAACTTCTGATTATAATTATAAAATTGGATGCTATCCCTCATACTCATGTGCTTTTGCTCTCTTGGATTGAGTACTTCCATGTCTGATGTGTGGCTGGGTTGATTAGCATTTGGTGAGGTGGGAAAGAGAATTACAGTCAAATCTTCACAGCATTTTTCATTTAAAAACTCACTAGGTTCTTGCCTCCTGCCCTGCCACCTGTCAGCTTGTTTTCTAAGATGCTGACTGCATCATTTTCGATCGCTGTGGTGGCTTACGCTATTGCAGTATCTGTAGGAAAAGTATACGCCATCAAGTATGATTACACCATCGATGGGAACCAGGTATGGTCACCCTTTTGCTGAACTGGTTTTGTAGGTCAGAAGATAAGAAAAAAAATGGGAAGGATTTTGTTGTCTGCTAAAGAAGAGATTGGGTTCCTCCACCAGTCTTTATTGAGTTGGTTTCCCTCTTGTGAGTGTTCATCTGAAATTATTTAAAATATGCATGGCCCATCATTTTACTTTTTAAGAAGTAAGTTGAAGGAATCTGAATTTTAAAAGAGCTAATTCAGTCAGGTCATAAAGAACATTCAAAGCAACGTATTAGGTCAGAATAAGAATTCTTCATGTAATCCCATGTCTCCTGGTAATTTTTTTAAAATAGCAGCTATCATATGGCAAAACAGTGCAATAAACACTGTTAATAATAGTTGTGGCCCCTTTAAACTGAGGTGGTTCACTGTGCAATTAGTGTACACAGGACAGTTTCTGTAGGCATATGATACATTGCCAGGCGAGCACGCAAATCTGCAGTTACGGTATGTTTCTGAAAATGAAGTATAGCAATTACAGCAGTTAAATGATTAGTACTCAAGCAGAATAACAGCTCTCCTAGTCATAATATGCTTCATAGCAAATATTCAACCACAGGAAAAACACTTTATGTGAGAGCAGAAATGCCACTCACCATGAAGTGAAATAAGCATTTTAGCAAAAGGTCAGTCACTCACTATTCCTCATCAAC